ATTCTGTGCAGGTTTGTCAAACATGATGTCAGATGGAGAGTTCCTGCGAACAAGCTGTGGCTCTCCAAACTATGCTGCCCCTGAGGTCATCTCGGGAAGGTAATGTTTTTTTTGCCATCTTTAGAAAATGACATTGACACAGAACTTTAGGCATTCTCCCACTTTATCGTTACAAGATCCTACATAAACAACACCAAATAAAATGTTGCTTTCATGGTTACAGGATAGTTTGTTTTTACTCGTCCTCAGGTTATATGCTGGTCCAGAGGTCGATATCTGGAGCAGTGGAGTCATTCTCTATGCCTTGTTGTGTGGGACACTTCCCTTTGATGACGATCATGTGCCAACCCTCTTTAAGAAGATCTGCGATGGGATCTTTTTCACCCCGCAGTATCTGAACCCTTCAGTCATAAGCCTCCTTAAACACATGCTGCAGGTGGACCCCATGAAAAGAGCCACCATCAAAGAGATCCGGTAAGCTGGGCGAGATTAATTACAAAGTCTTTTTTTCTTGTCTAGATGATATAGTGTCTTTTTTGAAGACAAGTGAATGTGAAACCAGTCTTACTGAAACTGTTGCATCTACAGTTTGTGGTTTGTTTTACTACAAAAATCATTTCTCCGCCCATAGAGAGGATGACTGGTTCAAACAGGACCTACCCAAGTACTTGTTCCCCGAGGACCCCTCCTACAGCAACAACATGATTGACGATGAGGCCCTGAAGGAGGTATGTGAGAAGTTTGAGTGCACAGAGGAGGAGGTCCTGGCCTGCATATACAGTCGCAACCATCAGGATCCGCTGGCTGTCGCCTACCATCTCATCATTGACAATCGTCGCATCATGAATGAAGCCAAGGATTTCTACCTGGCGTCCAGCCCTCCCGACTCTTTTCTAGACGACCAGCACTTGACTTCGTCTGGTGCAGCTGTGACCAGCACCGTCAAGCCCCACCCTGAGCGCGTACCCTTCCTCGTGGCGGAGACTCTCCCCAGGCCTCGCCACACACTAGATGAATTGAACCCCCAGAAGTCCAAGCACCAGGGTGTTAGAAGGGCCAAGTGGCACCTGGGTATCCGGAGTCAGAGTAGACCCAATGATATCATGTCAGAAGTGTGCCGTGCCATGAAACAGCTGGATTATGAGTGGAAGGTAAGGACAAACTCCATAAGAGGGGCGTATAGGAGAAAATAGACCTAAGACAGTGCTTCATTTGTTGTAGTTCAAATACAGTAAATGAAATAGGATCACATATTTAAATGGAATTAAAGATGAGATCATGTTACTAACTAACTGTAAATTAGAATTTGTGAGATCAGCTTTATATAGTCACTGTTTCTTCACTCTTCATAACTCTTCCAGGTTGTGAATCCATATTATCTACGAGTGAGAAGGAAGAATCCGATTACTGGGATGCAAACCAAGATGAGCCTTCAACTCTACCAGGTGGACAGTAGAACCTACCTCCTTGACTTCCGTAGCATAGACGGTAAGTATCCACTACTGTTCTGTGTCAGTTACATCTACTAAGATGTGTATTACACAGAAAATTAATGATTTTGATTACATATTTACAAAACTAATAAAAGCCTTGGTCATTGGTTAAACTGTTCAATAAACCTAAACTCTAAAAGATAATATAAAAGAAAAGGTAGTTCTGTTCTCTGATATTAGTTGTATCATTTAAACTGGGTTCATACCACTTCCTTAGAGTTTTGTAAAGTTAATAACCTGTTAACATATTGTGAGAAACTCTGAAGTGTTTTCCTGGATTCTGTCTGTAGTACACTGCATCAGTTCAGGCTTCATAAATGATTGACTTCAAGGTTTAGGGCTTGGGATTTTGCACAGTCTGTGTAGGTGTGCAGCGGCACATCAAAAGAAAATATGAGATAAGAGTGTTGTTATAGGCCATTAATGTAGTACAGGTATGCGGTGCAAAGGGTAGGAGAGAAAATTTTGACTTCAGGCAACGGCAAAGTCAGCCACAGAGTTTTTGTTTAGCTGCAGTTCTAACTGACGGCTTAGAGGAATGGAAGGCTGATTGCCTGATTAAAACTGACTTCGGCATGCATACATTTGTTGATATTTAAACCACATTTTTGTCAGTACTTCCCAGCAGTATATACAAGAATTTAGAGATGTCCCAAGCCAATCCCAAGGATCTGTATCTGGGCATATTAATGGATTGTTTTTGATTGAAAGTTTTTAATGCCTTTTTGCAGATACCCTGGTTATAGACATTGACCTGTAATGACAGTAAAGCTTTGTTTTGTTGTGTATTTTGTAGAAAACATTCTGTGTCTTGTGTTTATTCAGATGATATGTTGGAGACTAAATCTGGAACTGCTACACCTCTCCGCTCTGGGTCTGTGGGCAACTACCGCACCACTATTAAGAATGATGTAGATGGGGCAGACGCCCCAGCTATATCTAGCCTTGTGCACTCCACCAAGGCCGCAGAAGGCTCCTTAGCTTCATCATTGACCTCATCCATCGACTCAACGGGAGGTGGGGACAGCGCGTCTGTCCCTCGACCAGGAAGCCACACCATCGAGTTCTTTGAGATGTGTGCAAATCTTATTAAACTACTTGCACGATAGCTTGCAAAACAATCGCTAGCCTTTTTTCCTCTCCGAGTGTCTTTATAGCAATAAGCATGCAACCGATTCATGGCTCAGTTCATCCCAGCTGAGGATGAAGTGATTGTTCCATGGCACTGATGCAGGTTAGTGTTCCCTAAGCGGAAGAGATGTATACTGAGCTGGCAGGGAATGGAAGGGGTTACTGGAAAAGATGAATGACAAGCTACTTAATAGCTAGGACAGAACAACATTTAAGAGGGGGTTTTACAATTTTCTGATCAATTTAATAGCAAATGCCCACATCCCACCTATACATATATGCGCAAGTGATTACACTGAATTTTTCTGTACTGTAGCCAGTGACCGCTGCTTTCCAGTACAGAGAACAAGATCGAGTTTTTGCCTGCAGAGAGGGAAGCCACACGTTGAGGGTTTGGCATTTGGGTGGCAGTCGTAGAGGATGCAGGAAGCACTTTTGCACAAGTATCTTTTATTTCCTGCTGCTCTTGTATTTCTCTCAGTGGGGATCAGCGATGTGATGCAGATGTATCGGGGCGCTGCACTGGCTATAACTAGGGTTTTCATGCCCATCACATTCATTGGACTCTGAAGAAGTGCAGTGACCCTTGTGTTTCTGTCTTGCGTCAGAGACAAAAGAATGCTTCATCAGATTTATGTTTGGTTTAATTTTTTGGAGAATCTGAGTCGTCAGAGACTAAATTGTCATGGTTTTGTCCTTGTTGTAAAAATTTGTTTGAATTTGTCTGTCCCCTACATTTTTATATATAAAGACGTGAATATATTTATCAGTGCGTTAAGTGGACGCAGTGTTGGTTCTATTGGAAATGGAATTGTTTTCTTTATTGCATTAAGATCTATTGCTGGATGGTATATATTTTCCTTTTTTACTGTCTGGTTTTTAAATCAATATCACTGTTTCGTTTCCTTCAATCACAATTATTCTGATACTTGATTGTCTTTCCAGATAAATATAGCCTGCTTTTACCATTTAAGAGGTATTTTGCCATGACAGTCAAAATCTAGAAATATATCATTTTCAGTGTCACATATTAAAATGACAATTTGATTTTGACTTTTGTTATAATTTCTCTATTTCTTGTTTTCTTTTTTTAGATTAAGGATTAGGATTTGAGTATGATTACTGAGTGAAATGCCTTTTGCCTACATTCAATTTGTAAATGCCAATCCATCACAAGTGTATAGGCCTCAGGGCTCAATTTGAAAATTAGTAGTACTTACATGCAGTGCATGGACAATGTCTATTGGCAGGTGAATACATCCAAAATATTACCATTTATGGGTACGTTTATGTTTTGATTTGCCCATACATTCCCTTGAAGGTTGACCTTGCAAAAAGGTTTCAGATGTTTGAACATGAAACAGAATTGTGAGCTTGGAATTGTAAAGTCCTGCTGGGTAGATTGCAATTTTGATTCAGAAGAAAAAACATCACACAAGCTTTAAGATCATAAATGTGTGGCTTTATATTTGATAACAATGTTGGACAGAACCTGACACTTGCAAGCTCACAAAGTCTTCAATATTTCTTTAATCACAAGTATGATGCATCTCCCTCCATTTCCTGTCCACAGTCTTAAAGTTTTAAGTGGTGTCTATTGTTTGGCTGCCTTATCATTATCAGTACTGTCAAATACAGTTTTTACGTCAGTAAAAGTTTGAATTCCATGCTGGTCAGAATTATTGGCACCTTTTTGCAATTTTAAGGGTTTAAAGTCCACAAATTATTATGTCAGTTTTGTTAATTCACACATACTGTTTGTTTATAATTCACATATTATTCATATGGCTTGGCATGACAAAAGAAAAAAGAACATTCTTAACTGCAAAACAAAAAAAACTGATTATGTTGTTGCCAAACTATTGTAGACCTCAGTAACTGCTACCACCTTTTAATTACAGAAAAAGGAAAAAAAAAAACAAAGCAACCTTAAAGGTAAAATGGTTTCTTATTTAATTATCTTAATTTTTTTAGTCAATTATTCCAGATTTTAGACAACTTTCTCATTGCAAAATCAGACAAAAAATATTTGTATTAAGGGGTATTAGCAGTTGCTGAAGTCCTTGTTTCCAGTGTTTATCTCCCCACAGCTTTAAAAATGTAGAATATCTTGTCTGTATAAACGATTTTACATGTCAGAGATATTCAGCAAAAATTGCCAAGAGTGACAATAATTATGATCATCTTATTTCTCTTGCTGTCTTTCGAGGCAGGTGTGGACTGAATTATTTAGTTGATTTTTGACCTTTTTGTCTCAGTTTTAAACTAGAGTTTATAAAATATAGTGATCATGGTAAAGAAACGCACACTATGGTCTTTGAAAGATGTTGTAAAACTAAACATTTTAAGTTTAAAGGGCAGTTGCAAGTTTTGATTACAAAACCTTTCATGGGTTTCATGATCAGGTTTGTAGGCAAGATGAATGTGTGAAACTGTGACCTTTTTGACAGCTTATGGAGTAGTGTCCTAGGGGACTGTTAGCAGATCATTTCTGTCTACCTGAACTGCTTCAAAGAAATATTGTTCTATTTTTGTTTGACGTGTAAAGGGACCCTACCAGATGGACCAGTGTAAATCTGAATGGACAGTGTTGAAGTCATTTGTATACACAACTGCCTAATAAACTGCTAAATTGCACACAAATCTGCTGAACTTTCTCTGTATGTTACTTGTCTTTTGACAGGTTTGAGGAAAGATTAAATTTAACTTGAAATATATTATCAATTAAGTGCTAAGGAAACTGAATATTGTGCACTTTGACTGCATTTATGAGCATGGGTAAATGCAACATAAATGTAAACAAGGAATGTTAGCTATTCAGGTCATTTTAGAAGTACATTACACTATGATTGGCATTGTGATAGAAAACAATGATCATTTTGAAGAAACCTGTTCTGTTTATTAAAAAGTCTTGCGTGGCACAAAATGTGAAGAATGTAAAACAGTTTTGAGTCATGTTTGTGGTGCCATCTAGTGGGGGGAAATTAAGCGTCAGTCATTACATTTAGTAACATTTCCTGCAAAATAAAAGTATTTTTATTGTAAAATATAGATTTTTAAAAAATATATATATATCGCATCGTTAACATGCTCGTACCTCAACTTTTAAAAAGCAGTTCGTGTTTCTTTAAGAGACGATGTAAACATTTCCACAGCTTCCGGGTCATAAATCTGAAGGGGCACCAAATATGGCTAACCACTAGCTTCCGTCAGCTCGTTTAGCACACGGTAAACTCGCAGTGTGTGCGTATACCTTCCCTCCTGAGAACATTTCACTGTGTCAAATAACAATGTGGAACATGTTACGTTAAAATTACTTCTGTGTGAGCAAACGTACTGAGGTGGCAACTGTTTTTTACTGCTCGGTGGCCTTGGCTAACTTTAGCTCGCGTTGTTGTGACGGGGTTTGTTTATGAACTAGTCTTAGGGTTGTACGTTGTTGTATAACTTATATATATATGCCCATAAGAGATAAACCTAACTGCAGCAGCCGTGCTAAAACGTAGACGTCTAAGTTTTCAGGTGACGATAAGCTACGTGACTACCTGGTAATTTAACCACATTATGCAAGTTTTCTCATATTTCAAAATAAAAGTCTAATTCTTTCCAGTAATGATTATATACTTAACTTAGTTCAGACGAGGTAATGTTTCTGTGAGCGCCCCCCACCACCCACTCCCACCCCCCTTTCTCCCCTACAGGATGGCTTCATTTGGCTGGAAGAGGAAAGTTGGTGAGAAGGTTTCAAAGTCAGCGGTCCAGCAGTTTGAGGCTGAGGCAGAGAAGGCTGAGGATGATGGTCCAAGACAGGAGGAGGATGTGGACTGGCTGCACGCCATCAAACGACGGCGGGAGATCCTGCTGGAGGACTGTGCAGCCAAGAGCAAGAGGCTGAAGGACGAGGGTGCACAGCTGGCTGAGCAAGGCAGGTGAGGGATGCTGTTTTTTTTGTGTGCATGCAGTGTGCACGTCGTGTCAGTGACAGCTTTAATCATAGCAGACAAACGTGTATTATTTGGTCAGTTTTGAAACGTCTTTGTGATATTCCTTGTATACAGAGGCCCAAGGGTTCTGCATTGAAGTATGAGTTGCTGTGTGGGTGGAGGGATTAGGTAGGTTTTCTTTTGCAGATCATAACTCAATAACTAGAAAAATGCAGTGTACTGTTAACTCCTCGGCATTGAATATTTGCTGGTGGTGAACAAACACGCTTTATGCATATGCTTTTATTTCCTTTGAAAGACATTTTCCATACTCTGTGCCAGTTCCATAGCAAGCAGGATTACATCTTGAATCGTATTTGATTCTGTGATACTGAGGGCTTCCTGTCTGTGTGCTGGACTAGATAGGATAGCAGTGGCTTAATTACGCCTTTGCATGCTGTCCAGAAAGGGCTGTTACCATAGACAGTGAGTCATCAGCTGCTCATCTGCTGAAGCAGGGTCTGCTAAACATAAGCAGTTAGGACATTTACAGTGAGAAAGGAGGAAGAGGAGGGTGCAGAGGGACACTTCCAGCTTTTACTGTGTGTTTTGGTTGATGAAACGGTGGACTTTGGTGGAGATTATCTATAGAATAACCTAAAGGAGCAACACAATAACTATGGACATGTGATATTAGAAATCTTCCATTGGAGGGCACCATTGTACAGAGCACAGAGACCTATCTAACACAGCTAATAGCTTTCTATTGTCTTGCTAATAAATATTTCCCAGGCACAGTAAACCTAGTGTCATCTAAGCTTGAGGTTTTCTCTGTATCTTATTTAATGTTTTTTTTGTGAAAGTAAAATGTGTGTTTTGGTGTCTGCAATGATACGTTCTTGTATAAATCAGGATTTCAAAAGCCAAAGAGCTGTATTCCTCTCAAGATGAGGTCAGTAAATGTGTGTAACAACAGTTATTTGTGTTTTGGCCATGGGAGAAGCTGGTCTTCAGGCCAGAAAGAGATAGAAACATATTTAAATTGCTCCTACAATCTACTCTAACACCCCCCGGTGATTTTTAAGACGTCCAGCATTACCTTTAGCCTTGTATTGTGTGCAAAATAATTACTCCGCTACCTTTTGTGTAAAGAAAACAAAACGGGCCTCATTCAGAAAATGTAATGATATATCTTCCAAAATAATTGACCTCTTTAGCCAATAACAATCACTTTGTGAAATTTCCCCAGTCTAGTAGATGTAATGCTGTTGACTGCCTGTAATTGTATTTGCAAGAAGAAAGTGGATTTTGCCGGGGAAATGATGTCTTTCCTGGTGCTCCATAATGGCTGTTTGGAGGTTTGAGATGGTGTCTGGTCGGCCATGTTAGCCAGGATTCTTCTCCTCTTACGACATCCTCTGATGTCAGCCTATCATTACCAAGGTTTAGATGCTGCTGAAGAATTGAAGAATCTCCTCATGGGTCACGTCGTGTGCATGGGCGGGCCTGTGAAGGTTTTGTAAGGTCAGCCGATATTTCTTTATGTAAATGTACGAGGGCCAAGAGTCCCAGTTAGACCCAGTTTCCTCTCAAAATGGCCAAGGTTTTACCAACTCCAGTCAATATTAAGCTAGATTTAGCAGTGTACCTTTTTTAACCGTATGTCCGATTTTGCATCATATAAGTACAGAATAATTATAAACTATCTACAGACACAGTAATCTTCATACAGCAGCACACCAGAACATTTTCTGTAATATCGGCTGCTGTGCAGAGTAGAATCTTAATAAGGATGACTGACAGCCCTGTCATTGTTGAATGCACGCATGACCTTGGTGACACTTTTATTCATGAACTGCACAGAAAAGAAAATGAAAAATACCCACGTCTGACTGAGAAATGAATGCCTGAACAAACAATCAGAACAAACAATCAGAAAGAACATTATACAAGGCAGACTGCTCATTCATGTAAATGCGGCTTTATTCTGGGCCACTATTTATTGCTCAGCATTGAAATGAGAGTTGACCGAAGCTCACTCAGAGTCTTTAAGCTCCTGAGTATTTGTAATAGCAATGCAAAGACTGCATTTGCTCGACACCATCATTTCAAATAGGTTGTACAACAGATGATTGACAGGTCTCTCCTTCACTGAGACATCAGCTTGAACCCATTTGTACATTTGTGAGAATTCTAGTAGTAGTACTAGTTTAAACACTTGTGGGAGTTTTCTGAACAAGCAGGTCACATCATCATCCAAATACTCCACATAGTTGGCTGATTTGTGTGGCTTCCAGCTGCCATTCTGAGTCAGATTTTTCAGACTAAAACTCAGCTTGCAAGATGTTATGTGGCTCTCTGGGGCAACATTCAGCATCCTCTGAAGGCTTGTTTTGGAATTTGACAGTTTTTGCCCACTAATAGACAAACGGCGAAACAAACATATCAAAGTTTAACAAAAGCCACTCAAATCAGTTTCATATTCTGAGTCTCCTCAGGAAGAACAGTCCTTCCTGAAGAGGGCTTCGGTGTTATGAGTCAAGTCCAGGTTTTTTTTATTTTTATTTTTTTATTGATTTGGACCCAAGGAGTCCACCCTCTTCACTTCCCCTTCCTGGAAGAAAAGCAGGACAGGGGTCCTCCTGTTTCTCTGGAAATTCATCACAAGCTTTTTGGTTTTCCTGATATTGAGCTTAAGGTGATTAGCGTTGGGCTACGTGACAAACTCTCTATCGGTCCTCTGTATTCCTCAGTAAAAAAAAAGGCCTGTAAGTGAAGACGACATGATTCTCACTGGAAATTATTCACTGGAATCATACATATCAAAATATAGATAAAAAGATATTAAAAAAAATAGAATATCTGTTATTAAATTCCTTCAAAGTCTTCACTACATCATGTGAGTCTGGACAGACATCGATATAGATGCATATCTGTGTTGGGGATGTTTCCTTCTTTTGGACAGAAGCGTGTGAAACGGTCATAATGTATCTTCCCATGTCAGCACAAAAACATGCTGCAAATATGTCACTTCAAATTACTTACGGGAGTGCACTTCTATCATTCCAATGATTGCAGGACTCTGTTTATCCTATTCTTTGTCTCCCTCTCCCTCTGCCCTGTGTACAGAGTACAGTAGAGGTGTCAGTTTTACCCCCCAGTCCCCCCCATGTGTTGTATTACTTATTGCCTAATTTCCTCATATGATTTTGCAGTATCTTTTGCCTCATCTCTTGGTACGATTTCCACACTGCTCTAGTTCCATTTCTTCAACTCCTGTGCGGTATATGTTTTCCCTGGCTTGATCGTGGTCACGGCTGTAATCCAAGTTTTATAACTGATCGGCGTTTATGGTCTCATTATGTGGTTTTTTTATTGGTTTTTAATTTTTCAGGATATCCTTGTCCATGAAGTTCTAAAAGATGACGACAGACACATTGTGTTGTCGAACCCAGGGTTTCACCTCATAATCTTTCCAAGCCCTTTGTCTTAATCAGGCTATTGAAATGATTCTTGAGTCCATATTGACTTTAGGAGGAGAGGGTTGTCAGAGTGAGCGTGAAACATTTACGTGTCCATTCAGTGTGTTGAAAAAGTGACAAAATCTGCTTGTCAAAAAAAACGGAACCCTTACAAACAAATTATGCAAACAGATCCGCGGACTACAGTGGTAAGGTTGCAGCCACACATAATGTGACTTCTGCCCTATTTTTTTCTTGC